GGGGGGTGCGACTCACCTCCGAACACGACAGAGTGTACGGCCCCGAGGCGCACGGTGGCCAGCATGGCGATGATGGTCTCGGGGATGAGGGGCATGTAGATGAGGACGCGGTCCCCCTTCGACACGCCCAGCGCCGCCAGCCCCCCAGCCAGCCGCGACACCTGGCAGAGATTCGCATTAACGAGGAGCGCCACCATGGAGGTTTTGGGTTTGAGTATTAATATTGTCGTCATTGGAAAAACAAATAAGGTAGGACATTGTACCTTTTAAAGGTCATAAATTTTCATCCCTTTAAAAAGTCACAAAAGTCTCAAAATGCACTAAAATTTAGCACCTTTGGGGCATTTTTTTGTTTTTCCAAGGGTGCGAATATTTTTGTGAAATGGAATGGTCACTTGAATATTGCGTTTCTTCCAATATAATTTAACGGCTTCAATCCCCTCAATGCCACAGTTGGGTTGAATCGTTTACAAACTACACCCTAATGCATTTTGTTATGCGGTATGGCGTGCAGCCATAATTTGTGCATAATTTTGGCTGCACACCATACTGCATGCACCTGGAATCCCAGTGCACGAATGTGCAGGCGAGTGAAAAAGTTCAGACACTTGTAGGTGGGCGACAATTTCTTCATATATTTGTTGGTGACCGAAGAGAGGTTCATACACAAGGGAAGCCATTTACTCACCCCAAGTTTGTATGAATGGTCATTCACAGATCTGCAGGTGTATGAAAATTCTGTCACACGCGTAGGTGTGTGAATATTTTTACTCGCTTGCAGTTGTGCGACCTTTGCACACTTCCTAGTGTGTTTGTTTCTGCACAACAAAATGCATAAGGTTTTAGTGTGTATACTAACTTTGTCAACATCAAGAAAACTTTGCTTGATCCAGAAACGAAGTTTTCAATCAAGAGAGCTACAAAAATCGAGGCCTGCTGGTTTTAGCAACGATTTATTTTCTTTTAACAAAACTGGTTTCTAAATTAAGGTAATAAGTTCAGTGTAAGAACCGTTCCTTTGTGTATCGTGGGCGTTTTGTTGGTATGTTTTGGTACGTGTCCCCTAATTGAACGTTGACGAACGAAACCGTACCTTTTTCGTTATGATCCTTGATTGATCCCTTTCCTCGTTGGGAAATACGTTCTTTGTTGATGTCCAACTTATGAGAAAATATATTGGGCCAAAAATGAAAAGTCGAACACAGCGACAGTTCTCCCGACAGTCACCTAAGCCACAAGGCAAGACCCAGCTGAGCGCTCCAGGCCAGGTCGAACGGCTCCCCTTTCTGGAGAGCAGTTAGCCCGAGTTAGACTCTCGCTGACGACCGGACATATTGGCCCCGTGGGAAAGGGGAGGGGAGGGAAGGACTCTCCCGCTTCATCCAATATGGAGGGGATCCTCGTGGAGTGGAGAAATGTTGTGTTCTTCTTGTTGCGTCTCGAGACATGCAGGTGGGAGTGGTGGGGGACGAGACCGGAAAGGGGAGGGGGGGTGGGGGAGATAAAAGAAAAGAAATCAGTGCTGAGCACCTCATATTGTAACGTGCATTTTTCTAAATCTGAAAATGCTTGATTTTGTGGGAGACAATGCCTTGCGATAGATTTGTTTGCATTGCGACGGATTTGGCTGCTTGTGAGCCTGTGAAGGAATTTCTTTCCATACGTTGGGGATTTTCTACGCTTTGCGAAGGAAATCTTTCGGAATTGGTTCGAAATTGAAAACAGCCACAACCGTTAGCAAGGTTTTTAGCCTGCCCTTCTGCTTTTAAAAACCATTAAAGCGGGCTTATGCAACTGCTCTCGTGTCCGTCCGTCCGTTGTCTGTGTAAGAGGAAGGAGGCCAGCTAGAGGTCTTCAAATTTCAGGGTATCTCAGGGTTTCGCTGAAGGAAATAATTTTTTTTCCCTTGTTACCCTTTGGATTGGCCGTATTTTTAACCGAATTGGAGCTAGGTGGATATATTAGGTCGTGTGTTGAACATTACATTGTTCTGTTCGGTTCGTTCGAAGATAAATGTGGGTGTTCGCATTCGTTCAAGATTTTTGGACCAAATTTGTTCGAGTTTGTTTCAAATTCGAAGTGGCTTGTTCGTTCATCCCTATGTGCTCACTGTTGCTCACACCCTGCTCGCTGCGTGCTCTCACTGCGTGCGTACTGCCTACCTGGTCTTGCAGCTCGCCGTACGTGACCTTCCTCGTGGTGTTGGTGACCGGGCTGGCGTGGATCAGCGCCACCTTGTCCTTGCGCCCCGCCTCCACATGCCTGTCCACCGCGTTGTAGCACGCGTTGAGCTCTCCACCGACGAACCTGCGACAGCGAGAATGGCGCTCTGAACATCCTTATGCATTGTGTTGCGCCTAAATATGCATAATTTTATACCGCCATAACATAATGCTCAATTTTATGTATAACTATGTACAGTTTGTGCATAATTATACAACAAATTTGTACATACTTAATGGCTGTATAAAAGTTCGCATATCCATAAATATGTGTTAATATAAAAATATGATATATTATATAAAAATGTGTCGTGCATACGCACAACACAATGCATTAGGGTTGAGTGTGAAGAAAGGTACTTCATTGCAAGCAAACCAGATCTGCGGTGAATATAATGGGGAAGAAACAGTTCTGGTAGTATACTGGTGTTCTTCGGATCCGGTTTAGTTCCATTAAATACCCTACAGGGTGGGTGATCCACGCCGTCTTTTTTTAAATGCTTATACTGTACCGGATTCACGCGTGCAGGCGGTCTTGCCTACCGTCGCTCGCCAGGGCGCCTTACGGCGCCGTGCGGTTCTGCGGCCCGTCCGCACGTAAGATTCCGGTACAGTATAAGCATTTTAAAAAGACCGCGCGGATCACCCACCCTGTATGTTTGTTTCAAAAGCCGATGAACAGTTTCTTATACTTGACTGATTTTTACCGGGTCTAACTTGTCTGACAAGTTCTCTGGCAAGTTTAATTTTCCGGATATGATTTCACCCTACAAATCCAAAAGGTATTCGGACCGGAAGTGTCGGCCAAAACTGTTCCTAATTCAAGAGTTGCTTGCTTACTTACCATTTGGTGAAAGGCTGGTTTGAATCGTCCACCACTTTTTCCCAACGCTTTGTCCAAGACACTGTCTCTGCCACCTCTGACCAGAATGCCTCCCGGTCTTCCAGAGATCTCCGAAAAGTCTCTTCATATTTCGGACTGTAGAATCGACTTTGTTTCATCACCAAATCTGTCAATGAAACGAAAACGAAATTAAAAATGAAAATTCAAACAAGAAAATCTTGTTCTAAGAGAGCTGGATTCTACAGGTGACACAACCCAATCCAAACCCACACACTAGAAGCTTATGTACATTTTTATTCCGAGCCGAGCACGTACACAAAACTGAGTAAGCAATGAATAAAAATGTTCATAAACTTTTACTGTGCATATCACCGACTAACATCAAAAATCAACATTACTCATAGAGTGAGAAAGTTGTACTCGAACGACAATACCAGAACATTCGCCAGTAGGGTGCTTCTTACTATTCTCTCTGAGATTCTCTCCGTACCTTTTATCGCATCTTGCAAAATAGAATTTTGAAGCTTGCGAAGTGAGAATATTGTTTCTATCGTTGGACAAAATAAAATGTTATTCATCGGAAGATACAAATTTGCAGCTTCTCTGGATTCAAAATTGCGTCTTGCAAGATGCGCTCACAGATGCATCTTATACAATAGACCCACATTGTCCTTTGACATTTAGAGTGTCTCGGCGCCTGTCAGCCTTGGGGTAGGCCACCCCGCAGTACATGCATGCCCAAAGGTTAATGCCGTTGCCTACCTATCAGGAGCTGTGAGACCTTGCACTGACTCGAACAATAGCATCATTTACCCAAACCACCATTTACACTCTCAGATTTGTACTGGTATACTTCGTAGTACAATACCTAACCTCGTACCTAAGGGATCGTCCAGAAAGTTCGTCCGTTTCTCTCAGATTCATTCGGCAAAATACGGGAGCTCCGCGCCTGCGAGGCACAGGGTAGGCCACCCCGCAGTACACGCCTGCACTGTAGGCTGGATGTTGCCTACTGATCAGATCAGGCGCCATGGAACCTTGCATAGGCTGGCCTTGGCATGTTCGTAACGGCGATTGACGGACGTACTTTCTGGATGATCCCTAACTAGGACAATTTCTTTTTTTTTCGCGGAAGCACTGTGAAAATTTGTCGTGGGTTTCCGGGAAATTTACTATATTTCGTGTCGTAAAATTGCAATTTGATTTGAAATTGAAAATTTAAAAGAACTTTGTATCGGCTTGGAATTGAGATTAAACTGTTGAACTACACAGTTTTGCAGTTTAAACTGTCATCAAATTCTTGCTATACAGTTAGATTTGTTGAGTTGTTGCAGATTTACAACATGTTATGTAAATAAAAATTACCACAAACGTTGTAAATTTACGGGGATATTTTTCTCAGTGGGGATTACTGACTAATTCAGGGGTCGCAAACTCGAGCTATCCACTCGGCGCTCGCCTACCGTCCAATGTGTCGGTCTTTGTCACTCCGAAATGGCATCTCCATGAGTGTGACAAATGCAGACACACACTCTAGGCCAGCGAGTGAGCGGCGTGGCGTGTGTCCAGCCTGACTTTGGCAAGTTGATGTGGGAGAACCACTTCACGTTCCACGAAAAATCACGAACACATATGAAGAGCTTCTCCAACATTAAATTTCAGAAATCAGCCGTTTTTAGCACCATAATCCCACGCGACGGATCATCACTTTAGCCGCACTGTAAAAATTCTTTCTCACGATGACGAAAATACCATGGCTTACTTTCAATACAGGGGTGTCGTCATGGTTCATGGTTTTTAGCAGATGATACCTTTAAAACCTTTTGACTAAACATAAAGAATATATAAGTAACTTTAAGGTGTCAGCTTGCTTTTACTCTCGATAAGGACAGAGAACCAAGCGGAAACCAGAAAACAATTTATTTGGCGCAAGGGGAATCAGTGAGTGTCTGGCTGGCTGGCTGTCGCTTCAGGCCCCTTCCCCTACCCAACCCTGTACAACAATACCAGACAATACTAGGCCACCGACGGCGGCCGCTCTGCTCTGCCCCGCCGGGCCCCGCCCTTAGCTCATAAACGCCGCTAGTCCGCCGAGTTACAAAATTTGCAAGTAATAACAAGCAGCCATAAACAAATGACACCTAAATATGAGAGAAAATTAGAAAACAGACCTATGCTTAACTTTGTATCATCTGCTTTCAAGATAGATTCTTGATTTAGATTTTTTAAAACTCATGACGACACCCCTGTACTAAAAATTAGCCATTGTACTTTTGTCATCGTGAGAAAGAATTCTTACAGTGCGCTTGGCTGGCGTAGCGTCCCCCTGCTTCCAACCACCCAAAAGCAAAGAGGTGCGCGGCTCTCGGCCAGCCGAGCCAAGCGGCACTTGGCTCGCGAGCTGCGAGTTTGCGATCTCTGGACTAATTTGTTACTTATTGTGTCTCTTTTCTAAGTAACTGAATGATGAAAGAGGTGTCAATTGTCAGTAATGCAAAGGGTGTTAGCGCTTCGGTCTGTGCAATGGAACCGCTCTCAGATGCAACGAACACTCTCACCCTGTTACCGTCGAAAATTGTGTGATGGACAGGGTCATTTACTTTAAGAATTGACCTTCACCTTGAAAAGTCTGTGATACATTAAACTCTATTGTGAATTAATTCATTTTGTTATTTTTAGCGTGAAATGTATCATCTTCTCACAGTGCGATACGAGATAATTTCCTGAAATGTAGTACACTATTTTCCACGCCTACGCCCCTCGAATCATGGTCACCGTTTGTCGAGCTTGCGGCGCCGACTACATGCTACATGTGGCCGAGCAGCAGCAGGTGATTAAGTCGGGCAGAGCTCGACCGCATCGACTTCGGCCCATTGTGTGCGGTTGAACGGTTTTACTATCGCTCGCTAGCACATGAATCGGTCACGGATTTGTGGGGCGTGAGAGTACAAAACTAGGACCGTGGTCGCTAGACTGCTTGGGGGAATTTTGACATTGTTCGACAGGTGACGTACACGGGTTTCTGCTCGACGGAACCTTAATCGGGATGTGACGGTAAACCGCAGCAAACCAATCAACGAGTCGAATAGGCAATCAGGTCTTAACCCGGTGTCCACGCGACCACCGGACTACTTAATTCAGCGCACTTGTCGCACAATTATGCATGCGGCCTGCAGACCAGCACAAACACCCCAAAGTGGAAGAAAGGAGCTTCATTTATTTTCTTCAAGAACATTCATTCACTTTGCCCAACCCACTGGGGCACTGTATATCAGTGGTGCCCAGCAGCTGGGCAGCTTGTGGTGTGCGACCCTCAAATCGGGGCGACCTAAGTCGCCAACTAACTACCCTTTCTGCAGCATGCGTAACTTTTCACATCAATGTCAGTGAACCCAGCAATGAGTCAGTAAGTTGTTAGAGCCAAAACCAACTATCAGTCTGTTTAATAAAAAGGACCCCTTGAACTTTGTAGGTGACCCTCATATATTGTAATTACAATAACAGTCTCTTCAGAGATTCGTAGATAACCAGGCGGTGGTTAACTCACGAGTCGCCTCAGATGGTCCCCGCATAAGCTCCCCAGACTCATCTATTTTATTGCCTGTTTCCTTACGCACGGTGAAAACCAATCACTTTCAATCACTTCCAGGACTTTGTTTTGGCATTGAAGTTCTAAATATCGTTAAAGGAGACCCGTCGTGCTCATATTTGTTGTTTGCAAGCTTCATTCAGCAGTTAAAATAGTCATCGTTAACTTTTAAACGATCCATATCGGCAAAAATACAATTCCCGGCAATATCTTCGCAAAATCTCCGCTATGTTTTTTAACAGTTTGCGGAGCCTTCTCGAGCTCTGCGGTGGGACTGAGCCGCACCGGACTTATCCAATGAAAAGCTTCTAATTACCTCGGACGTTCACCCATTGTGTATGCAGATGCCCCACGTCGTCACTCGGTCAAAGGCTGACTGGACGACCTTTACTATTACATTTTGTATTCCCCCACGAAACGCTACTACGAAACGTTACTAACATCCTACACGTTTAAAACGATTAATGGATCATCATTACACAAGACCCCTGTACTGTGAAAATTATATACATACAGGGTGGTCCACAGACCCCTTCCTTTATTTTGCTTATACTGTACCGCATGCAGGCGTGCGGGCGGGCTTGCCTATCGTGGCTCACTACGGCGCCTTATGGCCCCGTGCGAGTATGCAACCCGGTCGCACGCCTGCATCCGGTACAGTATAAGCAAAATAAAGGAAGGGGTCTGTGGACCACCCTGTAAAACATAGATGTAAATTGACGATACTTGCCACACTTTTGACTTCGGATGTTATAAATTTACGAATGCCATCATAAATCCTAGCCCAATGAAAAGGCCAAATCAGTTTTATGTCAAACCCATTTCAAAGTTTTGAAATTACAATTGGTAATTTGTCAATTAACCATATTTTCAAAGTCACTTTTTATGTAAACCTACGAATGCTTTCCAAAATTTCAGTGTATCACAAATTATAGTAGGTCAAATAAAATGTAATGTACCTGAGGCCAGTCTTGGTTACTTTTATGGATCGTTTGGAAACTATTAATCTTGTATGAAGTGGATTTACCTATACGGCATAAGTAATGATGAGCGATGATTAGTCCGCCCCTCTTGTCTCACCCTGTGGTGCATGCCTCCCCTCCCTTCATGGTCTCGTCCAACTTCCTCTCTACTTAACTCCCTGATTCTAGTCGCCATCATCCCTGCTCCCGCGACACTCACCCTCCTCGTGCAGATGGTCGTCGCGGAAGTGGCTGAGGATAACTCCGTTGCCCTTCGAGCCGACCCTGCTGGCCGGCTGTAGGCCCGGCTGTATGCCTGGCTGCTGCTCCGTCAGGTCCCCGTTGATCATGGCGCACTAGCAGGTGCTCGTCGTGCCCGGCGCGCCACACTGGTGCAGCCTGCACCTCTTCTCTCCTTTCGCGCACTCACACACCTAGCACAGTCTCGCAGCAGGATGCTGAAGCGCGTTGGGCACACTGTGCAGATTCCGACCAGGGACGAAATATGGATAGAAATGAATATCCGAGAGGTGTCGTTGTAATCAGAGGCCTGTCGTCGACACCTCCAGGTCGTGGCTGACGAGCTACTGCCGGACAGGGGCCAGGGCCGCCGGCGTCCAACTGCGAGGCCCACCTCGCCCCGCCGCCCTGCCGCGGGCCCCACCAGACCGCCGCGCTCGCGCGAGGGGTCACCCGGGGGCAACCCGCCGCACCACCCTGACACTGACGGCATCCACACACGAAACTTTTTGTCATTTTTTGATGCGCAGCTTTGGCGTTGCTCTCAACATGATGGTCTAGTGTATTTCTTTTATACGAATAATAATATGAACGATGATTTGTAATTGCGTACAAATTGTTCACATGCGCATGGCAGAAAAAGAAATGAAAACCAGCATGGTATGAAGAATACGTACGCTGCCTCTGAAAAAAAAACAACACGTGAAACAGTCATACGACTAGGAAGACTATCACGACAATGTTGTTCGAGCACCGCAGGGTCAGTGCGGGTCACCCTCACCGTTGCAGAGGCGTCCCGTGAGCGCGTGGGCCACCTGAGACTGGGCTGGCCGGGCTGGCCCGCCCCCCACCCATGTGGCCGCATGTGGCCCTTGTGCTACCATTCAACGGCCATGTCACGTCAGGAGGTGATAAGGTCCAGGTGACGCTGCTGTGGTCCTCACAGTCCCAGCCCGGGACGCAGTCAGTCAGGTCCTGCTGCTGCACCTTGTGCTGCACCTTGTGCTGCACCCCCCGCCACCATGAGGAGTGCCCTAGTGCTGGCGCTAACCATGGCCATCCTGGTCCTCGAGGGGCTCGTGCCGTCGGACGCGCGCTGGGTGTCCACGCAGGACCCTCGGCCGCACAAGGGTAAAGCGTCAGCATCAGTGGTGACCGCCGCAACTGCAGGCGGGTCAGTCCCTCCAGTGAGGCCCTTGGAACGCGTGTTGCAGGGAAGTGCGACAAAGGGCCAGCCGGCTGCCGCAAGGTGTGCGCGGAGGAGGAGGGCGCCGGCGGCCACTGCAGCCCAGAGGGCGAGTGCATCTGCAGCGGCGCGTACAAGACGAGCAAGGGCAGCACCGCCTCCACCGGGACTTCAGTCACGGCGCCTGTAGAGGCCACCACCGCCGGGGAAGAACACCGGCTGCCGGCCGTCAGCAGAAATACTCCCTCGGTCACTCCTGGGACGACGACGACGACGACGACGACGACCCCAGCTGCCACGAGCGTCGCCAGGGCATCAGGCGCCTCCACGGCCAGAGGGGGCTCTCCGAGCTCTGCCACCCCCACGGGAGCTCCGAACAGGACGGCTGGTCCCATCAGGTTGGCCACGACAGCCGCCTCCACCGCGGGCCCCTCCACCACCCACTCGCACTCGACCACCGCCGACGCCTCCACTACTCGGTACTTGAGCAGGGCGGGATAGTGAACTCGACAGACGATGAGTAGGAGGACTTTCCCTTTAAAGTTTGTATCTAACAAACTTTAAAGGGAAAAAGTTCCTTAAATTTAGTCTTAGATGTCAATGGCGTTCTCCATAAAACACAAGCCAAAGTCGAGGATTTTTTTTTTTAGCCGCGATACGTGAACCATTTCAGTTAGACAGTTACCGTGCGCGTTTTCTACTTTTCTGCCTTCAAGGTACCGGTAAACGCTATATCGTACAACGGCTCCTACCCTACGCACTGGTAAAGCAAGTGTTTAATTTTGCACGCCAATTGACGTTTCAGTGTGCATTTTCTCGACACATTGTGATATCTAACCAGGTTAAACGTCAGTTGGTGTTTAAACTTTTGACATTTCCGAAAAGTATAGCAGCTTCACACCATGTGGTTCCTATTGATAGCATAGAACTGTGAGTGTCCAAGTGTGCAGAATTTAAACGTTTTTCAAAACGTTTAAAATGGGCTCGCCACGCAAGTGTGCAACTTGAGCTGAACACCATGTAATGTTGAAAATCATAATTTACTCACGTTGGTGGACAAATTGTGCACACTTGTTTTACCAGTGTACGCACTCGGGGCTCCGTAACTTATTCCCCAACTGACTTTATTTAACGCCAGAAGTTTACAAGATACAAACATTTACAACAATTACGTCCTGGTAATTTGGGGGATATAGCCATCTTTGGGGTCGGCCGTTTGCTTATCCTGCTGTCGTAGTTTTCTTTGGCTTGCCGTGGTGTTCGATGATTTTCGCTCTCGTTTACAAGGGTTGTTAAAGGCAGATTCTCTCGGAGGGGGCAGAATAAGTTCTGCCAATGAAGGAATTGAAATGCCATATATTGTCATTATATTGTCATACTGTCATATATTTAATTACGTGTCCGTCCGGTCGACCTGGCAGTGCCCAGCACAGTTCCCAGCACAGTGCGGGCGGGACGAGGGCCGGGCGGACCACGGTGGGGAGGCCCGCGTCCACGCCCGCGCCCTCGGGGTCCACGGCGGTGACGACGGCGGCCACCACAGCCGCGCGCCAAAAGAAAGCGTCCACAGCGGCAAGCACTGTAGGCAGGAGTGGGGGGCCGGCGACTACGAGGTGGGTGGTGGCTGTGAGGAGGCGGGAGAAAACGTCACACAAAACTGTGCGTCCGAGGATGACGTCCGCCTGTCGAATGCTGACTCACAAACATGTTTGGCCTGCTCTACCCCAACAGGGCCGCAACCACTCTGGCCACAGCCTCGGCGACAGCAACCCCGCCGACGACACCCAGTAAACGACGGGGGAGCACGACCGGGGCGGTGACCGTCGAGATCCGGGAGCCCCTGTTGGACGGGACGGCGGCCACCGCTGTCGAGGAGGCAGCCGAGGCCTTCGCCGCCAGCACGTCGGCCCCTGCTGCCGAGCACACCGCGGCCGTGGAGCAGCAGGCCGACGACTCAGCCACTGCCGGGGCTAGCGGCACCGGGGACAGCACGCCGCCGTCTAGCACCAGCACGGCCAGTGCTCTCGATGCTGCCGGAAGCGCCACCGGAAGCGGTGTATCCAGCGGAAGTAGTCCAAGAGGAAGTGGCTCAGCGGACGGCAGTAATGTTACAGCGGCTGTAACCTCCGTGACGGCCGGCGCCCTTGTGAGCTCGTCCAACCTCGACGCGGCCGCGGCCGGGGGCGGCACCACGGCTGTGCCCTCCACCACGGCTGTGCCCTCCACCACGGAGCCCGCGGCCGGTGTGACGGCGAGCCCTCACTCAGGCAGCTCACCACCAAACGCAGCGGCACCAGCAGTAACGACCGGAAGTACTCCCGGAGGTACAACCGGAAGTGCTACAGAGAGCAGCAGCACACGCACAACGGCCTGACGTACACTATACGACGGGGTCTTCACCAGGGGGTTGACAAACCCCTCGGGACTCTAGTAGTTTTACTGGTTGGTCCACATAATATTGTGTAGTTGTACCGGGTGTAACTAAGAATGCGCAACAGTGTTGCGGGATTGCACACCCGCCAGGGCTGCAGGGGCCATGGCGCCTTACGGGCTAACTGGGTAGGCAAACCCGCAACACTGTTGTGCATTCTCAGTTACACCCGGTACTGTACCACATGTGCAGGTGGTCTTGCCAACCGCGTCTCTCACCACCACGCGTTATGGACCATTGAGGCAACTCGTCCACTCGCCTGCATGTGGTACAGTCTAACTACGAACCACTTCGGGGTAGGTGGTCCACCCTAAACACACTTAGTATCCAGTTGAAGTACATTAGCGTAAGGACATTCAATTAGCGTAAGAACAATTCATTTTGCATAAGTACAAGAAAATGTTTTCCAAAATACATTCGCATGGAGGCAATGCAATTTACTTGATTCAGCAGGCCTTTGATGTGTCATCGGGGCGGGAATGACCCGCAGGATTACCCAAAGGATTACCGAGGGATTACTCTACCGTAAACAAAACTTAAGTAGGGTCTTGTCGTTCAAACACCGCGTGACACAAAAAATAATTTAAAAAGAAATTGTTTACAGAAGATAGCGTAAGCTCATTAGCTTCCGTTATATGAGAAATTAGCTGCAAGAACCAACAGTTCGAGCTGCCAACGCGAAGAATTCGCCACTACTGGAGTCAATTCAGAAGTGTTATTGTTCTTCGCATTATCCGAGTGAATTCTCTTCTTTTACAATTTATATTGTTGACTCTATGATAGCTAATTTCTCAATATCGGAGGCTATTATGATAAGCTTTCACGAATTTAGTTACAGGGTCGGTGATCTAAAAAGGGAACCTTTTCAGGTGTAAATCTCCGATTTCGTTGAAACTTGAAAAATTTGAAGGTTATTTATGTAGGAATCGGATGGCACTTGAATTTTTTCCTGAACCTCACAATTAGTTTTCCCCTATATATGGTAGGAGTACCCTTATCGAAACTGATATTTTTTAGAAAAATGTAAAGCAGTGTTCTAAGGGGTAACTCGTCAAACTAGCGTTCTTTGCACCAAATTCTGTCCGTTTTGCTCTATTTTGTACCGTTCAGGCGGTAGAGTGATATTTGAGACAGAAAGCAGTGTAAGGCTTAAGTAAACCCCTAGTAACTGTGAGGTTCAGGAAAAATTTCAAGTGCCATCCGACTTCTAGTAATAACCTTTAAATTTTCCGAGTTTCAAAGAAATTGGAGATTTACACCTGAAAAGGTTCCCTTGTAAGCCGTCCATTTTTCTACTTATATACTGTACCGGATTCAGGCGTGTTGAAGGGCTGCTAACTCGCACGGGGCAAAGGCACGAGCGACAGTAGGCAAGCCCATCCCGCACGCCTGAATCCGTTGCAGTTTAACCAGGAAAAAAGCGACGACTGAGGTCACCCACCCTTTACTTACTGTTATTTACTACTACGGTTATTTCGCTCTGCTAATTTCAGTGGGTCATCGTTAAAGGGACGAATGTCCAAAATTGGCACCAGTATGGAGCGATGTCCCACAATTATCACTGAAATGGAGCGAAGAGAACAAACGTCGCTCTAATTGGGAAACGATTAATAACACCTCTTTTTTTGAGATGAGACTGATCGCTCTTCCAGTTCGCAGTGTTAGCTCTGAAGGCCAATAAACTTTACGAAGTGATAGCTAAATAAGCTTTGTCGACTAGATCTGCAGCCATCCAGTGTATAATTTCAATGTGAATGACATATCTCAGTAATAGTTTTAGCTGTGCACTGGTAAAACAAGTGTGCAAATATTGCACTCTTAAGTGTGTAACTGATGATTTTGCACATTACATTGTGTTTAACTGAGCTGCACACTCAGTAGTGTGCAAATATTGAACACTAGTTATCAAAACGTAAACAAAACGTAAACAAAACGTCTAATGTTTGCAAACCAATTGACGTCTAGTTCAGATCGACATCATGAAGTTTTTACTTTTTGCACACTTGATACTGCATATCATTTGGTGAGCAACTTTCTACATTTGTTTTACCATTGTGTTGTTTCTTAAATAGATCAATAAGTGAATCCTCAGGTGCATCCAGTTGATTAGCTTCGCTGAGCCCCCTACGCAACCCCGAATCACCCTCCCTACCGATGCAAGGTGCCTTGTTCTTGCTTGCATAATGTAAAGAAGGTACAGCTTAAACGCTGTGCCCTTTGGGCTAGGAAAGGCGATTAGAGGGCTCGTCAAGGAGCTCGCACGGGGTGGAAAACAAAAGTCAAAACCCTTGTGGAATGTGCACCAAACTGCCGAGATTGTCACACTCTCATACTGTTTCTGATTAATTTTTTTTCACCCCTCGTTAGTATTCCTTCTGCGTAAAGTTACTGGTAAATCTGTACATTTCTGAGAGTGCATAGATTGCTAGACGAATATTTTGCTCTCCGGGGATAAAACCCCTGTGACTAGGCAAAACGCACTCCATGCACCCTGAATGTAGGCAAAAAGCATGTGTTTCGGGTCCGATTGCCTGGAGATTGACGAAGATTATCGTAGATTGCCAGGGTAGGTGTAGATGCCGGAGTTGTGGCCCCCTCTGGCGAGTCATGTACCAGCAGTACAAGAAGAACTAGAAGTGGGCGTGAGTAAGTCATGATGCTCAATTAAACCACACCGCGAACAGCGTCCTGGCCCCATCCTGAGACTGGATGCCAACTCTGTTGAAGGGTATCGCACATCGCCCAGACACCCCACACCACACGGGGCGTGTGTGTGAGGTACCTCACTGAGGTTCCCACACATGGAAATGACACGGGTTCTCGTTTGCTGCCCCCACGGGCCCCGCTCGGCGAGCCGGCCGGGGAGGGGGGAGTTGATTGCCTTCCAAATGAGGCGGCCGACCGATCGTCTGGGGCGAACATGCGGCGGGGGCGCCGCGGCCTCAAGCGGTGCCCCACATTCAGGAGACTTGAGACGCCATCCCTTTTAAACGTACTCGAAGAACCTTTCAAAAATATAAAAAATAAGAACGTTCCCGGAGGCACACTTGCGAAAGCTGCGCGTTTTATTTTGTTATGTATAGTTCCATAGAATCTAGTGTTTACAACTCACGTGGCTCTGCGGTGAAGGAGGAGGTTGGGGAGAGGTTGGACATTAATTTTCCTCAGTCAAGTTAATTGAGCAGGTGAATAGAACGAGTGTACCGGGTGAGCGCGCATCGGTGCGCGCGAATTTGCCTAACCACAGGGGACCATGACGCCTTAGGACTTGCGTTTCCGGTGTTTTCGTGGTCCAGTAGTGAAATGTCTGAAAATTTCAAACACAACCCTATCGTGATGTTAAAGCCTTTCTATCTAATCCTTTCTAATCTAATTTAATATTTTACCCCCGAATTATTTATATTTTTTTTTTTGACCCAAGGGCAAAATTATTTTGATTTAGCCCTTAAAAGTACCCGGAATTTGCACCGTGGATTTAATTTTGTCCAGTAATAAAGTCTCTATTTTAATTATGCTCATTTATATTTTGCCTTCATGAAAGGCAAAATTATCGAGGGAACATAATTTAATTTATTTTGCCAGCCCTGCTAGAAAGTACGTCCACCCGTCAACCTACCGAGTTCAGCGCCCAAGCAAAGAAAGTAGCCAATAAAGCTCTCGCTTTTAGATAGAGCAGCCACCATGCCGCCATCAGGCAGAGCAGCCGCGCACACTGTAAAAAATAACGGTCTACCTACGGTGAGATAACAGCGTGGATTTGACAGCATGGTACGGTACGGTGTGATAACAGCGTCTCACTGTTATTTTCACCGTAGGATGTGGCTATTGGCTATGTGGCTATTTACTTGTTAATTGAAATCACATCCTACGGTGAAAATAACAGTGAGACGCTGTTATCACACCGTACCAGGTACGGTCCAAGAACGGTTTGCCATTGGTTAATAATTGACGGTCCAAGACCGTTGTTAGACCGTAGGTTTTTCTCACAGTGCATGCGGTTAAAAAACTCGACCAAAGACAGTCACTAGTCTAGAGCTATAGTTCTGCTCGCAGAAAAAAGTTTACCCGCGGGTGCTCAGAAGTTAGCACCAGAGCTAATTTTCACTGGCCGAATAGACTCAGCTAAAATTTCAGCCCCGGTTCTAATTAATCTCGTTACTATTAGTAACTTTATATGCAAAGTAGTGTATAAAGCAAGATTTGCGCCGGTGTGGTGCTGGAAATATTTGGCAGGATTGCAAATTTATTTGTGGAATAAGTGAAAAGGGGGGACTGAGAAGGAAGGCATGAGGTAATGAAGGTCCAGAGGTCTCTCTATTAGTCAGGGGCGAAAGCATGTCAAAAAAATTAGCCCCCAGGGCTAAGAAATAGACTAGACAGTCCCCCGAACAGGCCACAAAGCCAATCGCAGCGGTGGTGTGGCGAGTCGGCGCAGGCGCAGTGCTGCCTGCACCCCCCCCCCCCCCCCCTTGTGTGGGGAAGGGCGGTGTGGAGGCGCGTCAGCGCGTGGCCTTGCCTAAACCCCATCGTCTATGGGGTCATCCAGTAAGTACGTCCGTCAACCGGTTTAGTCTCTGCAAGCGCTCCTAGTGCCTGTCAGGTAGGCAACATCTTGTCTGCAGTGCGTGCGTGTACTGCTGGGTGGCCTACCCCGAGTCTCGCAGGCGCTCAGCTCCCGAAATTCACCGAATGAATCTGAGAAAAAACGGACGTATACTTTCTGGACGATCCCTATACCCACCGACACACGCCAGGCCGCCCGCTCTGTACTATAGAGAGCGAGGAGGGGGAGGGGGAGCAGCGCTGGAACAAGACTTCTGGAAGAGAGAGTCTCTAGGGGACTGTATAAAAATTGAACTTCGATTAATAGCTAGAACCTGGTTTCCCTACAGCTACTCCTATTTAACTGCTGAGTTTTAGTGCCACAGGTGTCAAAATTAGAAAATTAGTAAAGAAGAAGACTTCTCAAAAATCTCTCTATAAAAACCAATCAGTTAACTTGATTGATACATCCAGAAACACGATTAGCACCCGCGCTAATCTTTCTAGTCGAACAGTAACCGACGGACTATTAAAACAAGGAGCACAGGAAACATCAAATTAATTTGCTGTTAAAAAGATAAACTCGTTCTTTACTCCAACCCTGAATATATGATGTGTTTTCAGTGATGTGTGACAACATAGAAACATTCTATTATAAGTTAGTAAAGTTGTAGTGAAACATTTAGCAACAATTTAGCAAACTTTCATGTGGTTATGATTGTTAATGTGTAGTATTGTATCACTATACTGAATTACTCATATGTATATGGCATGCATACCTATTTTGTTACTAGTTTAGTCTTTGACATACATAATCAACTTCTTGCAAAACACCCTTTAAGATAATAAGATTCACTTTGCAACAGAAGAATCAGAAGTATGTCGGGCTATTTTTATCAAAATTGTAAAATCTAATAGCGACTGTAATTGTTGGTGGGGAAGTCATAGGAATCTAAAACGGTTTTTATTGTGTAATTTCACAAGGGTTTCAGTTCGTTTATAGCATATTTTCATTTTCCAATTTGTTTCAAACATATTTCTCAAACATGGCTAAAAGAGAAATGTTAGTGTCAGGGTTCCAGTTCGTTAATAGCATATTTTCATTTTCCAGTTCCTTTCAAACATAACGTAACGTAACGTGACATGGCTAGAAGAGAAATGTTAGTGACAGACACATCAGATATTAGTTAAAGTTTATGCAATTCATACACACCTTTTTAAGCAATAAGTTTTTAAGTATGAGGGTATCAGTTTTAATAATATACCAACCAGATTATTGCACTTTTCACAGATAATAGTAGACCATGATCAGGTCTTCCCTTCTACCTTACCAACTTTTCTTCCTGTACATTGTTGAGTTCATTCTTTTGTTTGAAGGCCGGCCCGGGGTCGTTTTCTAACAGCAGATGGCGCCACTGGCTTGCTATAGCTCCCAGGAAGATACTTTTGATTTGGGTGTTTGCAAAGTGTCTCTTTTTATCTTACAAGGGTGTTTTGCAAAAAGTTAATTTTGTATAAAAAAAATCAACTAGTAACAAAATAAGTGTGTATGCCATACATACGAGTAATTTAGTAACTCAGTATAATAATATAATGGTGCACTCACAGTCACTACCACATAGCTCATAGCTTTAAAAACACTTAGAAATTTTTACTAGGCAGTAAAATTTTTGACTGGTAACTGAAAAAAACCTCTATTATGGAATATCAGGGCTGATTCCCTGAGTAGAATAAGCATTCATTCATACTTGTAAGCTCCTTACTTACAGAGATGAACAGATGTTTCTAAATTATACCACACCAAGGACAATACTCGTTCTTTTTACCTCACGGTATATAAAGTAAGGGGAGGTAAAGAACGAGTAAAAACTAGCACGGAAATGATTTTGTTTTTCTGCGTGTGTCGATAACCGACGGCACTCGACGCACACAGAACCGTTTAGTCCAGGTGACCAAATTCAGAACCGACGAAATTTCGGCTCTCTACACTGTTTTTCAACGAATGTGACATCACATTCGTTTCATTGTGAATCGTGTCACATTCTTTTAAATGTTGTGTCACATTCGTTTTAACGTAAATCAGCTAATCCAGGAGGCATTAAGGCATAGATTTACGTTGAAACGAATGTGACATGATTCACATTGAAACGAATGTGACATGATT